TTGGGTGTTCAGCTATTTATTAAATCAATCAGAAGGTGGCTTAGGTAGGTGAGGTAAAACAGACACATCTTCACAGCTTGTGATCAAATATCCTGCAACAGATTGTTGCTTCTGTTTTGCTGTAGAAAACACTTTTTAAAGACAATTATTGGGATAAACAAAAAATGAAAGCTGTACTTGTAACTTAAAAGATATTCATTTCAATTGTATGTGCATGAGTACATACCTGTCTGTATGTATATGTACCACGTGAAGGCCAGGAGAGGGCACTTGAACTCCTGCAACTGTGGCAGTTGTGAGCTGCCATGTGGGTGCTAGGAACTGAACCAGAATGCTCTAGAAATCTACCTGCCACTGCCTCCCAGTGCTGGGATTAAAGACATTCACTACCATACCCAGCTGCAGCCAGTGTTCTTATTTGATGAGCCATCTCTCCAATCCCAACTTTAAACTTTTAGAAAAAATAAGTCAGATCAGTAGAGACTGGAGAAAAACTTCATCAGTGAAGAACACAGGCTGTTCTTCCTAAGGACCCCTGTGTCTCAAAAATCTATAACTCCAGCTCCAGGAGATTGGCCACTTTCTTTCGGCCTCTACAGGCACTAAATGCACATGGTACACAACATACATTCAGGCAAAACACCCATGTATATAAAATAATCATATGAAAGTTGAAAAACTAAAAAGGAATGTAATCAGTATGTCTTAGGTCATATAGCTAGAATAATACTCCAAGGATACTGATAATTTTATGTTTTTGTAATCATTATAAACTAAGAAAGATTAAAAATAAATAAGTCTATTAACTAATTCAAGAATTGCAAAAATAAAAACCCATATAAGGGCTTAACAAATTATAAACTACTAATAAATTAGAAATCAAAGTGGAATTGAAAACTAGATCCACGATCTTGGTTTTTCTCAAATTACAACATAAAACTCAAGTTCAATGAAAACAAGAGAAATTGATACACACTGTAAAAAGCATGAACAGGATATATATTACTTAGTCCTAGTGGTGCTGATCTGTAATTCCAGTTCCTTAGGAGGCTGAGGCAGGAGGAATGAAAGTTCAAGGACTGAATGGTTTACAGTATGAGTTCAAGGCCAGCCTGGACAAGTTAGGGAGACCCTGTCTCAAATTAAAAAGGAAAAAGAGAGGCCATACACTTTTAATACTAGCACTCAGGAGGCAAAGGCAGGCAGATTTCTGTGAGTTCCAAGCCAGCCAGAACTATCTGAGTAGTCTCTATTTCAACAAATAAATAAATTAATTAATAAAAATAAAATTTGAAAAAACAAGGAGGTAGAATACAGCTCAGTGGCAAAAACGTAAGAAAGTGTTTGAAGTCGTATTATGTTAAGCCTTGGTATATGAGAACATGTTCTACAAAGAAAATAAGCTAAAAGCAAAACAAACCCTATTGGGGAGAGGGACTGCAGAGATGGCTTAGCAGTTAAGAGTGTTCTTGCAGAGGACCAGCACACAGATCTGAATCAATCCTTAAAACTGCCTGTAACTCCAGTTCCAAGGGAACTCTAATTTGTTCTCGGGCACTTGCTCTTAGGTGCATAATGTGCCGGGTGTGGTGGCACCTTTAATCCCAGCATTTAGGAGGCAGATGTAGGCGGATCTCTCTGAGTTCAAGGCCAGCTTGTCTACACACTGAGTTCCAAGACAAGTAGGGCTATGTACAGAGACCCTGTCTCAAAAAAAAAAAAAAAAAAAAGACTCTCATTTTGCTAAATGTGACCGCATTTTAAATCCCAGCACCCAGAAGGCAGAGGTAGGTGGATTTCTGTGACTCTGAGGCCAGCTAGTCTATAAAGTGAGTTCCAGGACAGCCAGTGCTACATAGTGAGACCCTGTCTCAAAACAAAAAACAAACAAACAAAACAAAAAACAACCAACCAAACAAAAAATAATTTAAACAATGCAAAGGAATTTATTAATACAGCAGCCAATTTAACCCTATGATCATAACAGGCTTATGGATAGTGAAAAGGCTGCTGGTTAAAATGTAATGTCAGTTACTGATGCACTGGCAAGATGGCTCAGTAGGTAAAGGTGCCTGCTGTGCAAGGTTGAAGACCTGAATTTGGATGGAAGGAAATGCATAGTGTAAGTTTTTATCTGATCTCCACACAAGAGACAAGGCCATGTGTTCTACCCTCCCAATAATAAATAATAAAGTAAAAGAAAACAACAGCAAACAAAACCTCGGGGGCCAGTAAGATGGCTCTCAGCAGGTAAAGGCACTTGCTAAGCAAGCCTGGAGACCTGAGTTTTATCCCCAGAATCCATGTAAAGGAAGAAGGAGAAAACTGACTCAGCAGTTATGCTCTGTGATCTTCACATGTGTACCTTGACACTTACATGAGTGCCTCCACACACATCACACACAACAACAATAATAATAAGTACAGTAATTTGGAGATTGAATAGATTACTTGGTGGGTTAGAGCACTTACAGTCTGAGCATGAGGACTTAGGTTCAAATCCTCAGAATCTATATAAGAAACCTGGTATGGTTGTACACTCAAACCCAACAATGTGGTGGGGCAAAGACTTGAGGGATCATTGGGATTTCCTGATTAGCAGTCTGTCTTTTAGGTTAGAGAGAGCCCATCTCAAGTGGTAAGACACAGAGCAATAGAGGACACCCTACATTCATCCCTGGGATTCATGAATCCACACACATGCACCTACTCACACATGTGAAACCACTCATACACATACATACAAAATACAAGAAAAAAGGAAAAATATTCTTTTGTATTTAGAGGTTAAAAAGTTGTCATTATCCCATGAGGCATCATTTTTCATGCAACTCTACAGATTCCGCAGAATAGTAGCATTCCTGTAAGGGTAGACAAGGTTAATCTTCAAGTCCCAACATCACACTACCTCATTCGTATTGTTCCACTATAATGAGTCAAAACAACATTTCATAAGAACATGCAAAGCCCACAGCTGTCAATACAGTGATTCATCCTTGTAATTGCAGCACTTGAAAGTTGAAAGCCAGAGAATCAAGAGTTCAAGGCCATACTTGGTTATTCAGTGAGTTTTGGGACAACCTGGGCTACATGGCATCCTGTCTCAGAAAAAAAGTTTCAAATCTAAGTAAAATGTGTGCCATTCATTAAAATACATCAACATTAGTCATTCATACTGGTGGTAGTAGATGTACTTAAAATCATTCTTTTGCTTCTCCATGCTTTCTTCTTCTCATTATTTAATGTGTATGAGTGTTTTGCCTGAATGTTTGTCTGTATAATGCATGTGTGCAATGTAGTGCCTTCATGTATATATGTAAATGAGACAAAAAGATTACTGAGAAACAATATCTGTTCAGAGAAGACAAGTTTTTTTTCTCTTTGGAAATGAATGTTGTACACTGGATGAGACTCAATGCTTTATATTATTTTATTTAATCTGAAACAGGGTTTCTCTGTGTAACAGTCCTAGCTGTCCTGGAACTCACTCTGTAGATCAGGCTGGCCTCCAACTCATTGAGATCTGTCTGCCTCTACTTCCCAAGTGCTGGAATTAAAGGTGTGCACCACCACCACACAGGACTTGGTATTTTAGTGTTACTTTAACTGTGACCCTGGTCACATCCATGTAAGAGCATGTGTAAATTTATTACTTTTATAAAGTGCAAGACTAAAGGCAAATTCAATCAGATATCTGTGTGTCTAACACAGGGCCATTGTGTCCTGATTGAAATCTCTGTTAAATTTCTATCTCTGTGTATATTGACTTTTCCTTCTCAAGATAACTTCATGTATTTTTTTTTCAGGGTGGGAGTAGCTAGGTCAGCTCTTTCCTTAGGGAAATTTCCATTGCATCTCACAGTGGCATTGCTAGAATGGCTGGACCAGCTGCCTCTTCCTTCAGGACAGCTTTTCCTCTCTGTGTTCTTGGTGCCAAGGAGATGGTAAAAGCCTTCCTCAGGTGGACTGAGCTAACAGAAAAGGGACATCTCCAACAAAATCCCACCCTAACCGTGTCTCTCAAAGTGCTACAGAAGTGTGCCTGTTCATAGTTTCCACTTTGATGCTTTAAAACCCAAATGTGCCATGCAATCTCTTCTTTCAATTTGTGACTTTCCAGGATGTGTGTGCCAGAAGGGGAGAGAGGAAAGCCCAGGAATAGACCATAAGGGACTTCTATTGGCATTGTTGGTGGGATGCCCACCTGGGGAGAGTTTTCCATCCCTAGTATTTCAATCCTCAGATTATCACAGGGGTTGGTTGTAATTTCAGTTTTGAATTATTAGGTCTAGAGCTTGCCCCAATAGGACATGACCTATTAGGGCATACTGGCTCAGTATGATGGTGACAGGTTTCAAGGTAGGTCAGGGTAGCTAGGAAAGGGACAGCCATTCCACTCATACCACTGCTGCCAGTGACTTTAACACCCAGTCCTCTGGTGCCTCATATGTGAGATGATTGTCACCACTGTGAGGATTCGAGAAATAATCCAGTTCACAGTAAGCAGCTCTTAGTCCCTGTTAAATAGTTGCACTGAAAAAGGTAGTCACTAGCATCATGTAGCAACTTACACCGAAGTAAATTACAGTTTCTTAGCAGTTCTAGCCCCCTTTAAAGAGGTTAGTATTCATTTTACATAGTGCCATCAGAATAGAGCATTGTCAGTGGTGACATCATCTTCATCGTCACCACTGAGTGATCATATTGGGCAGCAAGGCTTCATATCATTAATGTTGAGCTTCTGACAACAGCCAGGCATCCTTAGGGTTCAACAGAACTGTCTCCTTGTTGGGAACTGTTTACCAAGCAACATGTCTAGTAACGTGTGTCCTTTTCTCACCAGAGATGAAAAAGAGTTGCATTTGTTTCCCAAATATGGTAGCCTATGTGTGAATCAGAAAGGACACAAAGTTTATGCCAAAGAACACCTCCAGGGAGGATTCCAAGCTCTCCACCACAAGCTTATCCGACAACTACAGGAGGCATGGGGAAGGTTCTGATTATGTCAGCAGAGGAAACATTCTCCTGAGGTAGTGTTTGGGGAAAAAACAAGTAACTGGTTTTCCAAATAGATTTTCGTAAATAACTGACAGGAGATGGTCCGCTTCTATGGAAGTATTAACCCAGCTGATGAGTGTTAATTATTAAACCTTTTAGATGGTGGCTGGCTGATTTCTCTGCTACCCTAATCCAGGTCACAGAATAGTTAAAGCAGCTTTAAGTGGAGAGTGGATTTTTTTTTCTCAGTTTCTCTCCTGTTTTCGACTCTGAAACAATGTTGTGGCTGCTCTTTTTCCTGGTGACTGCTATTCATGCTGAGCTCTGTCATCCAGGTATGTAGCCTTGAAACTTTAAAAGTAAATTAAGTTTCCTAAATGCTTTCAAAGTCACTGAGTGAAAAACAACCAAACGATTTTTTTTTCTAAGTCTGCAGACATGTGGATTGAAAGTTGAACCTATGAATCTTAGGAAGAGGAAAGAAAAATGCAAATGATTTAATATGATTTTCACCAAAGTTGCAGGGGTACTGGGGCAGATCAATTGTAGTTCTTTGTTATGTTCATCTGGGTTGTATTAAATATTAGGATTCATTGGGCTCTGTTTTCTCAGTTTATCCTAATTTCCTGCTTTGTTGGTGTTGTTCTTTCTCTGGCAGATGCAGAAAATGCCTTTAAAGTGAGACTTAGCATCAGAACGGCTCTTGGAGATAAAGCAGTAAGTGAATAAAGTGAATACCTGCTGGCTCATTTCTGATTGTTTTTTTCTACTAGCTCTGGGCTTTCTCTACTAATTGGTTTATCTACATTGTGATCTTATCTTGATACTTTCAGTCTGATTTTTTTTTCCCAAAGCTAGATTACAGTAAAATGGGACTCACTGAGACAATGGGTTTTCTCATAGTGCTTGATCAATAGTGAGTGATTGAAAGTAGGTAGGGAAAATTGTGTTGCATAAAACAGGTTTGAACACTTGAACCTCTTAATTCAGTAACTTGGAGAGAAGGGGTCAGGATGGTCTGGTAAAGGTGTTTATGTCTAGGTTAAGTCTGCTTTTCACTGTTGTGGTTATTTAAATTTTAACAGCCTGTTTGCTAGTTATCAAAAAGAAAGATGGGTACTATCAACAAAGAAATAGTTCACAGTACAAAATTTTCTAGTTCCTATGCAAAGCTTCCAGCTATGGAAGTGACAGTATGGAAATTGTGCTTATGAAATCATAGAAGATAAATATCCTCACAGAGCCTATAAGGGATGGAAGAATAGTAACACTAAGGAGATGCTATTGTCTAGTTCTAGTGTTAGTTTCTCCATGTGGTCTGCATTTTAATTTAAACTAGTAGGTGATATTAATGCCTCATACTACAAACAAACAACAAATAAATCCCAGATAGCTAAGGGAATTAAGAGGTATTCTATTTGCGAACCAATCAGTTGCCTTATTTTTTATTATTCATTTGATAAGTAACAGTTGTCATGATAGCAAACATTTATTAAAGTATTGGTTTAATTTCTAGTCAGAACTCTTCTAAGTACTTGACTCCTATTAGGTTATTGATCGATTACCCTCTTGAGTATATATATGCCCATTCTCACAGAATGAGTGAGAAAACACAAATTCAAAGACATGTGACTCTTTTGACAATCTCAAGCCAGTAAATGGCAGACATAAGATTCAAACCCAGGCAGCTTGACTGCAGGGACCCTGCTCCCTACCAGTGTATAAGATTTCTTATCCCTGGATCCTTAGAGTTGGCAGCTAACACTGGGCTTATCTGTGCCCCGAGGACCTTATCATAGTGAGAGAATCATTTGTCCATGAAATACTCAGTAAGGCAAATGCAAATGTACCATCTTGAGGAGTATTACAAGAAGGAAAGGTGTACAGGGGCTCTGGCCTTAGCAGGAACTTCTGCAATGTCTAAAGTAGCCATGAACAGACATGAGAGAAGTATGAATGGCAGAGGGCCATCACATATGAACATAACAATTATCACAAAAAGGAGTTTAGTGAGCATGAAGGATGGGAGATGGATGCCTGGAAGTGAAGCTGTGGGGAAGGACGTGGTATTTAAGGACCTTGAAAGGAAAAAAAAAAAAAAAGGAACTGCAAGGGGAATATGTGCTATGGTGGTGGGGTGGGGGTGGGGAGGTTGTTTCAAGACAGAGGAACTGTTTAAAGTACCAAATGCTGTTGAGAGGCCAAGTTTATTGTGTGAAGCAATATGAAGGTCAATGAGGAATTTAGAGAGAGCTGGGTTGTTTTTTTTTTTTTTTCAAGATAGGATTTCTCTGTGTAACAGTCCTGGCTGTCCTGGAACTTACTCTGTAGACCAGGCTGGCCTTGACCTCATAGAGATCTGCTTGTCTCTGCCCCCCACCCCAAGTGCTGGAATTAAAAGCATGCACCACGCCACTCAGATTGAGAGAGCTGTTATTGTGAAGTTGTGGAACTGAAAGCCAGATATTGGAGGGGGTTAAAACAAAACAGCTGGACAAAGCAGCCTTGCAGACTACAGCCTAGCATGTGTGAGGCCAGGGTTCCATCTCTAATACTCTGTAAACCAGGCCTGGTAGCACTCAGGAGATGGAGGCAGAAGGAAGAAATTCACAGTCAGCTGGACACTGGTGGCACATGCTTTTAATCCTACCACTCTGGAGGCAGAGGCAGATGCATCTCTGTAAGTTCGAGGCCAGTCTGGTCTACAGAGCTATAGGTTTTCACTGTTGTTTTAGTGGGAACAAGTTGAACATGAGTAAAGTCATTGGAAAGGCTCTGGTACACAGAAGAAATTGAGACTCTTTCAAGCCAGAGAAGGGAGGAGAAGAGAAGCATTCTTAGCACACGTGTGAGGATTAGCCATTATCAGGAGAGATAATGTCTAGCGCCAGAGTTGAGGAAGAGGCTGGAATGTGTGTTGGTGGTGGAAACTTTGCTTCTTTGTCTTAATAGGAGGAGGGAATTTAAATTGATAAGCTGAGACATTATCTCTAAATTACAAAAGCAGGGGTTAGGGATTTAGTGCAGTGCCAAGCAAGGGGAAGGCCCCAGGTTCAGTTGTCAGCTCTGTGGGTTGGAGGGATTATAAAACCCAATGCATCTAGTGAGACTCAAAGTAGCAGGGAAAGTGTTTGATTTGGGGAAGGGTGTAGGAAGTTTGAAGCTGTCTTGAGACAAAGAACTTATGGAGAGCTCTAAGAGGTGGGCAGGTAATTTGGGGGGTAGGGCATCATGAATTTATAATTAAACAAGCCTTGTTTTGTGACTTTTAATCATTCAACTTAAATATGAGGTGTCACTGTCCTTAGATGTAGGCAGGAAGTAAAGTGACCCAGGGTCTTGAGTCCTTAGTGTAACTGTTACTGAAATGAGGAAACAAGGAATCTGAGATGACAAGTTCATACATGCTGCTAATATGCACCATGAGGTCTGTGAAGTCACAAGTGAACTCTAACAATACATTCAGTTTCATATACTTAGGTGTCTATATACCAAGTATCTGGACCACCAGTATATAAAGTGCTGCGAGCCCCCTTGTACATGTCTCTTCTGAGAGCTATTTTGCTCTATGGGTCATTAAGCCAGGACTGTAACTCTTAGTAACTCCTTATTCTTTTTTCAGTTGTACATTTTTTCTTACTACTATTATATGTGGCTTGCTTTGCCTGGAAAGTGTCTCTGAAACACTTTGAAAGGTGGAGCAGAAATGTGACATGAATGATACAGAAGCTTTTAGTCTTTTCCTCCACTCACGTTGGTTCTGTTGACTCAATACCCAACACAAAGCAGCACTAGTTAGACCCTTCCTGATCTCAATAGCTGTGAGCTTTACTCCATGGCCTGAACTGCACTCTTGCTGACAAAGCTAATGCTCACTTTGTAAGAGGCATTAAGGAAGCCTCTCCCAAGATCCAAAATGCAATTTAAAGCCATGCTTTGGCAAGTTCTGGCTAGCATTTCATTTTTCTTTGACTTTCTCATTTACACTTGAGCAGGCTCCTTCCCCATCTCCACATCCTCACAAGGCTTTTTCCATGTGTGTATAAATGTATACACATTGGTAATATTGTATACAAAGTTATATACACATGTAATATAATGTATACTTATTTTTTTAAAAAGTAAGATTTAGTTTTGTTTTATGAATCTCTCTCTCTCTCTCTCTCTCTCTCTCTCTCTCTGTGTGTGTGTGTGTGTGTGTGTGTGTGTGTGTGTTTGTATTTGGGTATCCATGGAGATCAGTAGAGTGTGCCAGATTCCCCAGAGCTGGAGTTACAGGTGATTATGAGTCACCTGATGTGGGTGCTGGGAACTGAACTCAGATTCTCTGGAACAACAGAATGTACTCTTTTCTCCTGAGCCATCATCTCTCTAGCCTTATATGTATGAGTTTTTATTAGACAAGGTCTCAATATGCAGTTCAGGCTGGCCTGGAACTCTATGTGGACCAGGCTGCCCTTGAGCTTGCAGCGATTCTCTTAGCTCTCCCCCCTGGGTTCTAAGGTTATTGTAAGCCTGTGCCATTGCTTGGCAAGTGGACAGGCTTTTTGTTGTTGCCGTTTTGTTTTTGTGTTGCCAGGGATCAAATCTAGGTCCTCATGAATGCAAGGCAAGCATTCTACCAACCAAGCTATTTCCCTAGCCCTGATTAATATTTTTCTGCTATTTTAACTGTACCAATTTTTATTTGTATTTTTTGCTTAATTATTTAATTAGACTATATCATTACAAAATAATGTCTGTTGTCAGGTGGTAATGGTGCAGAGGCAGAGGCAGAGGCAGGCAGATCTCTGTGAGTTCAAGAACAGCCAGGTGACACAGAGAAACCCTGTCTCAAAAAATAAAAAGTAAGAGTTATTCCCTGAAATAGTTAATACTTTTTAAACTTTCATAGTATAATATAAAAGAAGAAGTAGGAAAAAGGGGTATTGGAAGAGTTGGAAGGAAGATGGGGTAGATTTAATTAAAACACATCACACTCTTGTACAAACTTCTTAAATAATATTTTTTCAAGTTCATTTTAAAATATGGAAGAAGGAGAATAGTGAGATGGCTCAGTAGGTGAAGGCACTTGCCATCAAGCCAAATAACCAGAGTGTAATCCTCAGGACCACCCACATGGTGGAAGGAGAGAATCTGATGCCCCAAATTATCCCAAATTACCTCAAATCATCTGATTTCTACACTTGTGTCTGCACAAAAACACACATGAAGAAAATAAGTACAAATGTAGTAAAAAGATTGAAGGAAGGTAGCTGGGCATTATGACATACATATGTAGTTCCAGCACTTTGGAGGTTGGCATGGGTAAATTGCTTAAGTCTAGGAGTTCAAAACCAACCAGCCTGCGCAATGTAGTGAGACCATTTCAAAAAACAAAAACTAAAAAACTGGACTAAAACAGTATTTCAGATAATTTCTGAGGTTGGCATTAAAGTACAACACTTAGTGCTTGCACACAACATAAAAATAGACTACATTTTCTTCTTGATGGCATTTTACTGCAGCTATGTTAGACAGCACTGAAAGAAAGGGGTAAAGTAGAACTGAATGAAGAAAGTTCTAATACTACTGGTTAACTTATGGGGCTAGAGAGATGGCTCAGTGAGTAAAGAATGTACCATGCAACCATGAAGACCCAAGTTCAAATCCCCAGCAGCCCCCCCCCCACAAAAATCTTAGTGCTGTGGTGGATGTCTATAACTTCAGGGCTGGGGCTGGAGGACAAAGACAGGAAACTCTTGGGGCTTTTTAGCCAGTCAGTCTAGACAAAGTGTGAAGCTCCAGATTCAGAGACCATGTCTGAAAATAATATGGACCCAGGTGTGGTGGCACATTCCTTTAGTTCCAGCACCTTGGAGGCAAAGATAGACACATTTCTGAGTTGGAGACTAGCCTGGTCTGCATGTCTAGTTCCAGGCTAGCCAGGGCTACATATTGAGACCTTGTCTGAAAGCATACAAACAAAAACTGTGGAGCACAATAAAGAAAGATACTCAACATTTACAGCCTGTGGCCTTACTTGCATGTGTGGGCAAGTGTACTTGCATACATTTGTACACAAACACAAACACACACACACACCATGTACCCACACAAATAAAATTAAATTTAAATATTAAAAAGAATATAAGATACACAGACATTGTGAAAGCATTTAGGAAAAAAGAATACCCTACTTGTCCAGGGAAGGTTACCAGGGGATACATTTTCTGCTGTTGTTTAGGGTCATCTGTTTTTTATTTACAGCCCCTTCCTTACCATGAGAAGAGGACAAGAGCAGTAATGATAAAATACATTTTTCCATCTCAGTGTGAATCCAAATCCTAGCAATGTTCTCATGATAGGCCAGGATGAGTCATAGAAATATCAGATTTGTTGACAGATTAGTGGCATTGCAGTGTCAAGAAAAGAGAGTGTGTCAGGAAACACACCAAACTTGGAATTATAGAATGTCTAAGAATGTGAGTTGCCATGGTCTCCAGTGGGAGAGAAAGTAAACAAGAAAGAGGGTGATTGGCCATACCACCTAATGGACAGTTTTTCCCCAACCCTATTCACTTCTACTTTCTTTTTCCCTTCTCCTTCAGTATGTCTGGGACACAGATGAAGAATACCTCTTCAGAGCAATGGTGGCATTCTCCATGAGAAAAGTTCCCAACAGAGAAACAACAGAGTAAGCCAACGTCATGACATCTCAAGTTTGAGATAATGCATTATTTCAAATTTCTATCTTGAAAATAATGCAGTAACCCTAAGATTTAAGGGACCAATATTTCTGTTTCTTTCTTCATTATTTATTTGGATATTTTGTGTGTGTGTGTGTGTGTGTGTGTGTGTGTGTGTGTGTGTGTGTGTGTGCATCGTGGTGTGCAAGTGGAAGCCAGAGGACATCTTGTGGGAGTTGGTCCTCTCCTTCTACTGTGTGGGTTTAGGTTGTCAAATTCAGATCCCCAGGCTGGGTGGCAAGTGTCTTTACCCATTGAGCCTTCTCTCCAGCCCTTGCTTTGCTTTAAAACTTTCTATGTAATCTTGCTTGGCCTGGAATTTGTGGCAATCTTTCTGCCTGAGCCATCCAAGTGTTGGGGTAACAGGCATGAGAGACCATGCCCACCCTGGGGCCTGTATTTTTATGGAACATTTAAAAGAACTCTTTGCAATGGAGCAAAGCTTATAATTTATGTCATATTCCCTTTTTCTACAGGTGATCTGACTTTCAATGACCGTGATCAAAATTATAGTTGTATGTCTTTTATGTCATAAGCATTTTCCATTTCTAGTGTACACATATGATTTTTCTTACAGAGAGCTGGGTAATATCAAAGAAATCTATGCTTCTTTAAAAAGTAACCTAAGTATGGATAGACTATTTCTGCATTTGTATATATCAGAATATCTTGTTAATTTTTGTAAAAGTACTTACTATAAACTAATAGGGATTTTTTTGAGACAGGATCTCACAATATAGTCTTGGCTGTCCTGAAGCTAGCTATGCAGGTAGACCAGGCTAGCCTGGAGCTCACAGAGATCTGTCTGCCCTGTCTCTCTGGGATTAAATATGCTTGCCACCATGCCTGGGCAGTTTTTAATAGTTTTACATTTGTTTCCCTGTTCTTCCCTTTTCTATTTGTAATTAGGCTATACCCTAAGGCTGTCTGCCCCCTACCTCAGTTGCCTCCAGGTGAGAAGAAATGACTGGTTGAGCTGCATTGAGTATCTGAGCATGAGTTCCCATTTCTCTGGGAGCAAGCTTGCCCTGTCTGCCCCTACCAGGCTTCCCTGGTGAAGCTTCCTAGTAGAACTATCAGGCTTTGCTTGCTATATAAAGTTAAGGAACATCTAGATTGGAAGATGCCACATTGTACAACCTGCTAAGTGTCTTATGTGTTGCCCAAGCAGGTGATTTTACCTAGCTCAGTTCAGCTCTACCAAAGACAGTTATGGTTGAAGTTATTTCATTTTAGGATTTTTGTTGTTGTTTTGAGACAGGATTTTGAGGCTGGCCTTGAATTCATTAAGTAGCAGAAGGTGGTCTTGGCCTCCTGAGTATTGGAATCGCAGGCATACATAACCCCCTTTGGCTTTATTTCAGGACTCTTTAAGAGTAGGAAGAAAATTTGCCTGGGGATTAAATAGCCAGTCATTTTATCCTCATCCCCCAAAATGCTTTCCTAAAGAGTTCCAACTTCTCAATAATTAAGAGCCTGGAGAAGAGAACTACTATCAGTTGCTTTCTCTCAGATTCCCAATATCCAATGTGAGTATTAAAAAAATGAAATGGAAGCTGGGTGTAATGGCACACACCTTTAACCCCAGAATTCTAAAGACGGAGGTAGGCGATCTCTGTGAGTTTGAGGCCAGTCTGGTCTATATAAGGACTTCCAGGTCAACTAGGACTACACAGTGAAACATTCTCTCTCTCTCTCTCTCTCTCTCTCTCTCTCTCTCTCTCTCTCTCTCTCTCTCTCTCTGTGTGTGTGTGTGTGTGTGTGTGTGTGTGTGTGTGTGTGTGTGTGAAATCTAGGATTTGATGTCAGGTGTTTTCCTGTCTTGTTCTCCACCTTATTTTTTTTGACATAGGGTCTCTCACTGAGTCTGGAGCTCAAGGATGGGCTAGACTGGCTAGCCAGCAAGCTCCAAGATCCCCTGCCTCTTCCACTCATCCAGCATTAGACTTACAGACATATGCCACCACACCCAGCTCTGCCATGGGTACCAGAGATATGAACTCAGTTCCCATATGATCATGTGGCAGTCACTTTAACAACTAAGCTACCTCTCCAATTCTCACACATATGTACTTGAAAATTTCACACACTTATGTACTGTTATTTCATATGTATCCATCATTACCTCCCTCCCTTTCCCCCAGAATTACAAGTTTTAAAAACAGAAATAAGAGAGATAGTTAGAGGACTCAGCAATGAAAAGTCCACACTGTTCTTGTAGAATACATCAAATCAGTTCCTAGCTCTCACATAGGGCAGCCCATAACTTCCTGTAACCCCAGCTCTAGAGGATCTGATGCCCTCTTCTGGCCTCTGTAGGGGCACCTGCATGCAACAATCACACAGACATACGCACATAACACAATAAAAATAAAAATAGATCTAAATAAAAACAAGGTGATTGAATTGCAAAAGTTCAAAAGGAAAGAAAGCATTTATTGTCTCACACTGCTGAGTGTCTCTTTTGTTTACTAGTTTTCACTGCTCCTTGTCAGCAAGTTCTGTACTTTGCTGTGTCCCTGGCACTGTGACTTACTCCATGTGCTTACATTTCATCTGGTCCATGACTCTGTGAGTTCAAGGCCAGCCTCATCTAGAGATAGAGTTCCAGGACAGGTAGGGCTACACAGAGAAACCTGTCTCGAAAAACCAAAAAGGAGGAGAAGAAATTGGAATTCCCATAGGAATCTCATGCTGTAAGTGGGAAAAGGCACCAGCTGAGGGGGATGAGACTGAAGCCCAGACAAGGATGGACCAATAATAGGCAGGACCACACCTTGACAGAGACTGTCAGATGCACATATACTGGGGCATCTATTTAAACTTTGACCTCATTTAGGGCCCCCAAGATGGACTTCAGAGTTTTCCTGGATCTCTTTGTCTCTTTTCTAATGTGGTCACATTCAATAAATCCCCCCTTCTGCTTTCCACTTTTAGTTCAACTCTTTTAATTGGTTTACTGAGGATAGGTGTTTGGGCCTGACTTGGGGTTGCCTCTGCTGTTTCTAATATCATTTAAGCCGGATTTACTGAAACAGGAATTCCAAAGTGTTCTAAGTTGTTTTAGGGGCTACGATCCAAAGTGTTCTAAGTTGTTTTCAAGGAAACTATGATCTAAGTTTAGTCTAGTTTTCCAGCAAACAGACATTTAACTACATATTACACAAACAAGGCTTTGATAATTTATCACTTTTAGCAAGATAGGGAGAAGTCTGTTGCAGGTGTTGCTTTCTCTTTTTAAGTAGCATAGCACATGTAATGAATTTCTTGCTCTACTTATCTGTCCAAGGATAAGTCTTGTGACCTAAAAAGGAACAATGTGTTCTTGTATCCATGGAAAGGTAAGGGGATTACCTGTCTCGTGCTTGCAGTCCAGCTCACTTTTAGTCCTGATTTTCAGAAACAAGAGCCTAATTCTTACCACCCATTGCCTTTGCTGGCCTCTTTGATGAGAAATAGCTATGGAACCAATTTGCAGGGAATTGCCTTTAGGTCAGCATTTCATACACTTAAGGAGACAGAGGGAACATTTGCAGCTTCTTTTTAGTGAGTTGCTGAAAGAAGCTATTCATGTAGATGTTTTTTGTGGTTTAATAAGGATCAGGAGAAACAAATAGGCCAAATAGATGTTTATTCTGGGAGAAATAACTTACAACATAGACAGATGAACACCAGCAGGTTCTTGGTCCCAAGGATGCCTCCAGATATTCTCCTGTCTGCCTGCTGCCAGCAAGAGCACTCTTGGGCTCCTTCTCAGACCTAGTTCCCACAGGTCACTTCTGCCCCTGTCTCCATCCCCAATGGGCGTGGTCAGTACAACAGGTGTGGACAAAGTGAGTATCTCACTACAGATGTTAATATAATTCACGGAATAAAAATCATTGGTCAAGGACTGGAGAGATGACTCGGTGGTTAAGAGCACTTATTGCTCTTGTAGAGGATCCAGGTTCAATTCCCAGCACCGACATGGTGGTTCACAAGTATCCATAACCCCAGTTACAGAGACCCTGATGCCCTCTTCTGACCTCTATGGGCACCAGGATGTGCATGGTAGTTAGTTAATCCCAAAGATGAAAGGAGAAAGACCACTGACACAAATCATCATGGTCAAACTAATTAAAGCAAGCTTGTTTTTTGTTGTTGTTCACATACCCATGCTGCCTCCCCTAAGGCGGGGTTCCAGAGGTCAGCATTGGATGGGAGGAAGATAAGCCTTTTATAGCTCAGGAGTTGGAGGTTTCCAAATGGAGGACTTGACTGGCAAAATTGGTGGGGTTATGGGAGCAGAACGTAAGCATAAGTTACTCCTAATGAGCTAAAGATATGGTTGGAAGGTGGGCATAACAAGGTAGTCATTGATGTGGGATTCTGTACACTGCGGATATGTGTTGCCTTTATCGGTTGATGAATAAAGCTGTTTTGGCCTATGGTAGGGCAGAATATAGCTATGTGGGAAATCCAAACAGAGGTAGAGAAAGAAAGTAGAGTCAAGGAGATGCCATGTAGCTACTGAAAGGGTAAGATGACAGAACATTACCAGTAAGCTACTGCCATGTGGTGATACACAGATTATTTAAAATGGATTAATTTATAAAAGAGAACTAGCCAGTAATAAGCCTGAGCCATTGGCCAAACAATTATATTTAATATTAGCTTCTGAGTGATTATTTCATAAGCTGCTGCAAGGACCAGACAATGGGAGAGAAACTGGTCCAGGGGACCCAGTAGGACAGAGAAAAATGTTCAGCTATAAGTCATAGCAATAGGTAGTCATAACAGGGTAGACATAGATGATCATATAACCTTTTGAAACAAGGCATGCTTGCAATTCTTGGAACAAGCAGTACAGAACCAGTTGTACTTAAGGTTACAGGTGGGGCATAGTCCAATGTCTGAGAAACAGAGGTTTAATCATAAACAAGAATGAATCTAGTTTGTCTTTACTAAAAGATGGCTTTTAAGCCTAAGGCAAAGGCAGGCTGGTTCTTCAATACACACACACACACACACACACACACACACACACACACACACACACACACACCACTTGAAAGAAAATCAGGCACTCACCTTTAATCCTAGCACTCAGAAGGCAGAGGCAGGTGGGTCTCTGTGAGTTTGAGGCCAGCCTGATCTACAGAGTGAGTGCCAGGACAGACTCCAAAAAACAAAACAAAACAAAACAAAACAGAAAGAAAGAAAGAAAATCAGTCAGCCAACCATCATTCAGAATGATTGCTAATATAAACTCACATTGTTCTAAGTATCGGATTGGTACTTAGTTGTGATAAACATTTTTCAATTTGATTTTTTTTGAGACAGGGTTTCTCTGTGTAGCCCTGGATGTCCTGGAACTCATTCTGTAGACCAGGCTGGCCTCAATCTCAGAGATCCACTTGCCTCTGCCTCCTGAATGCTGGGATTAAAGAAGGTATGCACCACCACTGCAACTTTAAAAAAAAAAAAAAAAAATATATGTATATGTGTGTGTCCTCAGTGGCCAGGAGAGGGTGCTATATTTTTTGGCGCTGGAATCCTAAATGGAGCCTGATGTAGATTCTGGGAACTGATTGAGGCCTTTACATGAGGTGCAAATGCCATTAACTACTGATCCCTTTCTCCAGCCCCTATCCTTTTGTTGAAAATATGTAGTTCTACTCCAACAGTTTTTACCTAGTGATAATTTTGGCCTTCAGAGGATTTTTGCAATATCTGGAAACTTTTTTGATCATCACAACTGGAAGCTAAGAGGCCAAATTTGCTGTTAAGAGAATAGGTACCCCTTCCCCATAACAGAATTACCTGGCTTGATTGTGCTGAGTTATTCTTTCAAGTAGCACATGGGATAATATTCCTTTGATAACATGTGTCATATTTATTTTATCCATTCTTCTTTATTGATGGACATTTACATTGTTCCGATTCTCTGTTTCAATGAAGAGTGCTACCAAGACTATCCTCATCAGTGTTCCTGTTTATTGCATGTGCATGTAAAAATTTCTGGTAGCTACACTCTATCTTTTAGAGAATACTTGCAATCAATGATCCAGAGTGGCTTGACCCATTGGCTTTTTCATAGCTCCTTGGGATTTCCTTTCTACACAACTTGCCAGTCCTTGGTATTATTTAAATTTAAATTTGGGGAGGGGATGGAGAGATGGTTCAGCAGTTAGGAGCATCCCCTGCTCTTCCAGAGGACCTGAATTAGGTTTTCCAGCCGTTCAGCAGTTCACAAGCACCTGAAACTCCAGTTCCAGGGGATCAAGCACCATCTTCTAACCTTCAAAGGTCCCTGTTCACAAGTACATATACTCATAGACACATAAATGAAATTTAAATACATCTTTAATAAAATTGTTTAGCAATTTGAAAAGTTTAAAGTAGCTCACTTAAAAAGCATTTTACAAATTTTGATTATGAGGCCAATTATTCCCAACTTAATATAGCATGCAAAAAAAAAAAAAAAAAAAAAAAAAAGGAAAAGAAAAGGTGGAACTACGTTTCCTTAGTTCACCCCCCACAAGTGGAAATATTTTTGGAAAGCATGCCTTACTTCAGTTTGGTCATATTTGTATCTTTGTTACTTAGTATAAGGAGCTGCACATTTCGGAATACTAAACTTGCCATTTTCTTGCCAGTAGAGGTCAGAATTGGTTTGTGGTTCTCAGCCAGTACCTCACTATTTATTTATTTATTTATTTATGGCTCTTAGTCCAATGAGTATTGAAATGCCTGTAGACACTGTTGCCTACTGCTTGAGAGCCCAAACATGCTGCTTCCCTTAAGCTACAATGTATAATCTGGCCCAAAACCTCAGCAGTGCCACTAGCAGAAACTATGGTGTGTCCTGGAAAGAAATAATTGATTATCTAAAAAATATGATAAACTCAAGGATAATTAAACTCTTTTTTACTCTAACAAACAATGAATTACACAAAGTGGGCACACTGGGTGTTTGGTCGCAAGAAGATGGAAGGAGTTGGTTGGCAGGGGAAAAGGCAGGTTTTGATACCAGCAAGTTTCCATTGTGGGCTCCTTGGGACAAGAGAAGGTTATCTGTGAGACCCACCAACCCTAGAGTTAGGAAAGGTTCAGTAGTATGCAAGGGCTGGGGCTGAGTGTGAAGAGGCAAGACAGTAACTCTCTTTTAAGCCAAGGAGGTCAGCAGGGTGGATTTGCTCAGGGCACTCTGCCTACCTGACTGGCCAAGACAGTGACCACAGACATGATATCATCCTGGCTGTTTAGAGCAGTGGCTCTCAAACTTCCTAATGCTGTGATTCTTTAATTCATTTCATGTTGTGATAATCCTCATCCATATGATGATTTTCATTGCTACTTCAGAACTGTAATTTTCCTCTGTTATGAATTGTAATATCTGATGTGCAGGATATCTGATATTTGACCAGTGTAAAAGGGTCATTTGAACCTCAAAGGGGTCACAAGCCACAGGTTGAAAACTATTGGCTCAGCTTATAAAGGGCATAAATGATCCTATACTGTTAGGTTCTCCATGGGCAAAATCTGAGCTATCTGATACCAGGCCACTGCTCTCTAACTGGTAAAGGGCTCACTTTGAACCTCTGCTTTATCCTCCCACCCTTCAGCTTAGTGCCTACTGGCAAGAGGCCATCATGTGGTGAGTCAGTGGCTGGATGTGATGCTGCCTGGAAGACCAAGGAAGTTTATCCCCTGTGCTTTCCATTGCTGATCCCTGACACTTGGGTCTGGGCAGAGGGGCACTTGCTTTTACTTTTGTACCCAACACTGAAAGGAAGAAAAGAGACAACTTCCTACACATAGCCATTGGGAGAAGAACAGCTACCTTTCAACATTATAGGCTTGAATATTCTTGTCAAGAACAGCAAGATTCTTGTCTTGTCTGTGAAGGTGATTGATGTGTGTGTTATTCTTGTGGGCTGGATGGTCCTGACACATGTGCAAGCTTTTGGAATTTTCTTCTATAGGAGATGGCTAACAGCATGCAGGATCTACATTTCCGCACCAGCCTTGTTGGTTTTACGATGTCCCTCCTATAATTTTCAGCTTTCATCCACCCTTGTAAAGATTTTAATTTTTTGAACACTAATGTCATTTTTATTTTCACTTTTATTGGTAACCCATATGTAAAGAAGAGAGGCTGTCACATTTCCAATATGCAGGTGAAAGACCACAGGATTAAGAGTTGCTGGTGATTGTAGCACTTATGTTTGCCGGCCTGTTCAAGGTGATGTAAAAGCAGATGCTCTTCTTGTGACCTTTACCCTTGAAACTACGTTGGGAAGGCACTGCTTGATGATCCCAATGCTGGAATAGGAAAGACAAGTATAGATAGAGCAAGAATTGAATGAAGAGTAGATGACAGCTTTTGTTGGGAGGGTGACTGGACAGGACATCTGCAAACTTGAGAAAACATGCAGGCTTCTGTGCCTGAGACAGAGGCCATATTGCTGAGGAAGCAGGGAGGCTGTTAACTACTTGGGTGATGAACAATGATCTCCTTTCATTCTTTCTATTGCCAAATCACACCTTTGTTTTTGGTAGATCCTTCAAGTATATGATTTTGAAATAATTGGGTCTTCTTTGCAATTTTCCTTTCTTTTTTTTCTGAGACAAGTTCTGGCTGTCCTAGAACTTGTTCTACAAACCAGGCTGGCCTTGAACTCTGAGATCCACCTGCCTCTGCCTCCTGAGTGCTAGGATTGAGGGAAGGCTTGTGCCGCCACACCTAGCCTTGTTTCGAATTTTATACATTGTATTTTGATTACTGTCACCACCACCCCAGCCCTGCTTCTTCCTCTAACTCCTTCCAGATCCATGCCCACATCCTCCCCTCTTCCCAACTTTGTGTCCTCTTAAAACATAATCCAAGCCCAGTCTGTGCTGCCTGTGTACTCATGGGTGTGGAGACTCCCACCTACCAAGGCCTTAATGAAAACTGATCCACTCCCAAAGCCATCAACTTGTCACTAGCTCTTCAGTTAGGGGTAAGGGCTTGTGAACTCCTCCCTGCTTTATGCTGGAGGGCTGATTGGCTCAATCTTGTACACTCATGTGCAGGCAAACATACTGTTGTGAGTTTGTGAGTACAGTAGTTCTGTCATGTCCAGACTATACGGCTTTGCTCCAGTTTCCCTTACTTCTGGCTCTTGTAGTCTTTCTGCCCCCCTCTTACTCTATAGTCCCTGAGCCCTGGGGTGAGGGTGATACAGATGTCTCCTTGTGACTAAGCATTCCACTGACATTTATTCTCTGTACTTTAATCACTTGTCAGTTTCTGCATCAATGGCCATCCATTGCACAAAGACACTTCTCCGGTGATGTCTGAGAGCAGTACTACCTATGGGTAAAAGGATAATTTAGAGAGCAGTTGGTACTGTGTCCATTTAACAAAATAGTAGTAGTAGCTTTACCCCTGGGGTGTGTAAGCTTCCTAGCCATAGGTTCTTGGCCAGATTTGCAGTACTAGGCATGTGTTTCCTCCTGTAGAACAGACCTTAAATCTGTTCAGGAAGTGAAATTTTATCTTCTTCTTTTCTCAGAAACAGGCTTTCTCTGTGTAGCCCTAGCTGTCCTGGAATTCACTCTGTATGTGGGGTTGATCTCGAACTCACAGAGTGAGTGCTGCTGGGATTAAAGGTGTGTGCCACCTGGTGAAATTTTATCTTCTTAAGACATTCTTTCCTATGGTAGAAATGACTTCTCACACATATCTAAGGTCTCTCATGAAAAGGTAATCACATCAGAGTTTGGAGAGTTTTCTGCTATTTGTGATGATATTCTTGTAACACATTCCTCTCCCACCCATCTCTGCAGAATTTCTCATGTCCTGCTTTGCAACGTAACCCAGAGGGTATCATTCTGGTTTGTGGTCACAGATCCTTCCAAAAATCATACTCTTCCTGCAGCTGAAGTACAGTCGGCCATAAGGTAATCATCCCCACATTTGCTGTCTGCTGATCTATCAGCCTGCTGATGAGCTCAACTGTTTTCATAGACACTCCACTCCATAGACGATGCATTGACCAAAGTGTCACAAGTCTCATTCAGTTCATTTTCATCAAAGGTTAGTGTAGTGAGTGATGTTCATCCAGTAGCAAATTGCCTTCAAGGAAACAAATGGCTGGCAATGTTTGGATACATTTTTCTTGTCACAACTGAATGAGAAGGAGGCACTACCCATACTAAGCAGGCAGGAGCTAAGGATGTTGCTATCCATCCTGCTGTGCACAGGACAGAACTCCCTCAATAAATTATTTGACCTCAAATGTCAATTGTGCTGTGATTCAGAGACGCCTGTCTAAATCCTAACTAAGAAAGAATGAAGAGCACTTTTAAACATATTTTAATTTAAAGAAATGCCTGTTATTTATATAAGCCACCTTAAATATAGTTCTGTTATTCATTCAAATCTAGATGATATCTCTCAAGAAGTAAAACTGGGGGGGGAGGGGTGGAACTCAAAGGTCATGATTTATATCAGGTGAGAGACGGGCTTGTACTTTATTTCTAATGTTTTATTTTTGTCTTACTTCATTTGTTTTTTTTAAAATTATGATTGCCTTTTAGAATGAATAGGAACCGGATCAACAGTGCATTCTTTTTGGATGATCAAACTCTAGAATTTTTAAAAATTCCTGCTACTCTTGCACCACCCACGAATTCATCTGTGCCCGTCTGGATTATTGTATTTGGTGTGATATTTTGCATTGTCATAGTTGCAATTGCACTTCTGGTTCTGTCAGGAATCAGGCAACGACGAAGGTAAGATGTTTAGAAGGAATGATTTAGGGAATATTCATGTATTTTCTTATGACTGGTTTCAAGTACTGTCTAAAACTTACAAAAGTCATGACTTACAAAATGACTATCATAATTTTATCTTTTGATGTTTTTTAGACTCCATTGTCTCTTATTTAATAAGGCCCCTTCCATTACTATCTCCTTTTATTCCATTCTATTTCCTTTATTATTGTATGCTCATTATGACTCTCTCTCTCTCTCTCTCTCTCTCTCTCTCTCTGTGTGTGTGTGTGTGTGTGTGTGTGTGTGTGTAGGTCGGAGAGGACAACTTTATGCTGTCAGTTTTCTCTTTACCCCTAACGTAGGCCCCAGGGATCAAACTCAGGTCATCAGGCTTGCTTAACAAGCACCTTTAGTCAACAAGTCACCCCACTGGTTTTCCTCTATTGTATACTGTATGACTGTCTTGTATCCAGACTTGAGTTTAGTATCTGTGTTCTAGTTTCTGTTGCTATCATAGAACACTGACCAAAAGCAACATAGGGAGAAAAAAAGCTCCTTTCTTCTTTTGGATTATAGTCCATCCTTGAGAGAAGTCAGGACAGAAACTCACAGGCAGGAATGGTGTTTGTTGGCTCACACAGTGGCTCTTAAATAAGCTCATGCTTAGTTAGCTCACCCCTCCAAAAAAAAAAAAAAAAAAAAAAAAAACAAAACACTGAGTTTCTCTGTGTAACAGCTTTTGCTTTCTTGGAACTTCCTCTGTAAACCAGGCTGGCCTTGAACTAACAGAGATCCACCTGTGGCTGCCTCCTGAGTGCTGAGAGTAAAGGTATGCACCACCATCTGGCTTTTAGCTAGCTTTCTTATACAGCCTAGAACCACCTGCCTGAGGAATGGTGCTGGCCAGAGTGGGCTGAGCCTTCCCGCATGAGTTCATAATCAAGATAGTCCTCGCAGACATGAGGCTTATCCTCTCAGGGAACTCTGGGCAGTGTTAAGTTCTATGCTGAAATTTTGTAATCTGGATACACCTTTGGTAGTTAGTAATCGAGTGCAAATGCCCAGGGTTGCACAGATGGTTCAAGGACTCCCTTTGTTGGCCCAGGGCCTGTAGGCCCAACTCCTGTTCCAGATGCTCTGGCTGTGCCAGCCTTCTCTTCTACTGATGGATACTGGCCCCTTGTGCATCTTTGTAAAGAATTCTGTTGCTTAAGGCGTTTGAGCTAACTGCCTAAATCAGAATCACCTGAACACTTGTGCCGTCTCTGGCTGACTCAGATTCACTAAATTAGAGTATGCGAAGGAGATGCATTTTGATATCACTCAAGTTGTTCTAATTTATTTAATTTTCAGATGTTCAACTTACTGGCTTGCACATAGGGCTCTACTTCTTGAGTTCATTTTCTTGCAGTCAGTAAGACCAGCTATAATGTGTAAGTTATTGACAGTGCTTCAAAACAGAATTTCAGATCAGTGACAGTTACTGATGTAGCAGCAAGGACAGGAGACAATTTCTCAGCACGATGAAATGAGAATACATTTTTGGTTATAAGGATCTCTAATTGATAGAGGAAGATAAAACTTCCTTGATTTCAAAGATATTTTAATGACTGTAAATTATGTGCATGTGTGTGGGGGGAATATGTGCTCATAAGTGCAGAAGCCTGGAAGAGTCCAGAGGTGTTAGATGCCTCTGAAGCTGGAGTTCTAAGTGTTTGTGAAGCACCTGATGAGGTGCTGGTGCTCAAACTACAGTTCTCCCTTCAAGGAGTGCATGTTCTTAAAAGCTGAGGGATCTCCCAGCCCCCCCCCAAATCTGTCAAAACCTGTCTAAACCTACCTCATGGGGACATGAATCCTAAAATCAAGGGGTATGGTTTTTGAACAGCTGGGACATGTAGGATGCATGTGTTGGATTAAATGCCTTTCCCCACATTTACTACGTTTCCTTTGTGCGTCCCTAGTTACTAACAGAAGCATTTTCAATTCCAAATATTTCCATTTCCCCCACAAATGATAAAAGAAACACTCTGGTATAAATGTCATATATGTCTATGCTTTAAACTGTGCCCAAAGATTAGGATCAAGTGGTACTTGCTCGATTTTCCTAGGTGCTAATGGCATGAAATGCCAACTTCTTTGCTATGGGACATGCATTTGTTTTGGGTTTTAGAGTATCAATACTCATTCTCTTGCAATATTTGAAAATCAGTGTTTGGTCCTTTACAGTTTTGTGTTCATTCCGAGATGTTTCAAATGATCTGAAACCTTTGTGATTTGATGTCATTTCTTTGATTCCCAACTTCTTACTAGTGAGATATAATGTAGGAATTAAAAGAATGGATTCAGGTGATACACTGCTTAGGTTCAAAGTATTGATCTCTAGATTATGCTCTCACATCAAACCCATTAGCTGTATGCAAGTATAAACAAGGAGAGGGAAACTGAGTTTGGGAGGAGAATATGGCTTTGTGGTCCTAGAGCCAGTCATTCTAGGTTAAATTTACTTTTGCTGTCTGCATGTAGATACCTTTTCTGAGCTGATAAGCTACGTGTGCTGGAAATAATTAACTTGATAGGATTGAAGACTTTAGTACAGGAGAGTGCTCAGAGTGGTATCTGGCATACACTGAGTGCTCAGCAAGTGTTAGCTGTTACTATTATTTTATTATCTTGCCATTTGCTGGTCTTTCAGCTAGTTTGTGATGGGATCAGCTATTTCCTTCCAAACAGATTTTGCAGTAATATAATAATTGGCTGGGTAGCATCATAATCTGTTGCCTGGGAGAAGTGAGGCTGTTGTTACAACTCTGCCTTCACAAATTCAGTTCACCTCCAAACAAGGAAAACAGATGAGCAAATCTTTTGTGAAACCTGGAAAGCATCAACAATGATCAGATACAGTCAGCACAATTAAGATGGCCTCCTGGAGGGAAATTGTTTATGTATTTTAAGTTTAATACTACCTGTGGTGGTTTTCCTCTTTGGCAAAACACTGCTTCAAAGATGAGGAAAGGATACAGTTTAAAGTGGGGGAGAGTCTGTCTATTTTCTTGAGACAGGCTCTCATATAGCCCAGGCTGGTCTGGAATGGATTGTATAGTGGAGGATGACTGAGAACAGGTCATCCTTTCTTTGCCTCCCATAAACTGAGATTATAGGTATATGTGACCATGTCCAGTCTGAAAACTCCTTCTAATCGTAGAAAAGTTAGAGATTGTTTTTTGCAGCTTTGAGGAAGAAAGTTAATGAAATGTTCGGCTTGGGTCATCAGAGAAGGCTCAGCAGGTAAAAGTAAATGTCCTCATTTTGATCCCCCTGGACCCACATGCCAGAAGAAGAGAACAGACTCCTTCAAGTTGTCTTCTGACCCTACACTCATGCCATGGTGTGATCTGGCATGTGAACTGCTTGTGTACACACACACACACACACACACATACACACACACACACACACACAATAAAATGTAATAAAAGCTTTTTTAAAAATAAATGTTTAACAAATCATCCATATGTTAAATAACAATGAACACAGTTGTGTTCTTATGTGGTCATTTAAGCTACTGTTCTGTTTCTATGGAGAGGCATTCTATATTGGTCCAAGATAGATGAATACTTACTCAATACGATTGAGGAAATGTCTCAAGCAAGGCTTTAATCTTTCTGTTAGTTTTGTTAATGACAGCATTATGCTGACTATTCAGAACTGCAGGGTTGGGTGGACTAGAGGTCAAACTACGTAAATTTAAATACTGTGTCATTATATATGTAAACTAGATCAAGCCACCGAATTTCCACATATCCCAATTTTCCCACCTACAATAAGGATGTAGTATTTTACAACTAGTTCCATTTCTGATGTCTTTATTTTCTGTGTGTGTGTGGGGTGGTAACCCAATCAATTTCATTAGGGTTCCATATAGGTGATGGATTATTTACAGGAGCATCAGCAACTTACTAATGGCTACACCACTGAGGAAATTATCTCTCCCTTCTCTAGCAACCCTTAACTGTGTGTAAATCTTCAGTGTGTAAACCTTCTTGAGGTCCTCTTAGATATGTATAATTCTTAACACAACAAGAGAAAATAATTAGCATGGCAATTTGTCATTTGAGTTACACTTTTATTTGTATGTGATTTTTTTCGTTTGTTTATGTTTTAAAAACAGGGTTTCACTATGTAGCTCTGGCTGTCCTGGAACTCACTCTGTAGACTCACAGAGATCTGCCTGCCTCTGCTGAGATTAAAGGTGTGTGCCACCAAAGCCCAGCTTGAATGTCAAATTGTAATATATGATACCACTGAGAAGATTACAGCTTTATATAAGAAGGAGGATTTATAGAAATCCAAATTTGCTACTGAGCTTACAAGAAGAGTAACTAGAAATAAACCAAGCAAATTTAGTAATGACTCTGCTCAGTATGAACATTATCTAGGGTTCTATGTCTGAAGTCCTTGGCCTTGCTGCATTACGGAGAACAAGAAAATGATTGCCTTGTAGGCAGGGCTCATCTGCATTATCTGTGTTCGTGTATACTGTGATCTGCATGAAAGCTCCTATCATAGACTGAATGATCAATAAAGAAATAAAAAATACACATGCAATGGGAAATTAGTGTGTTTTGGATAGAGTTTAGTGCATCTAAAATAGAGTTCCAGTCAGCTTCTTTCATGAATCATATCCCATTCTAAAAGAAAAGTCAGCACATATATTTGAAACCCAGTTTTCATCATCTGAAAATCAAGAATAAAAAGAAAATCTGTACTAGATTGTAGTGAGAATTAAATAACATCACGTGTAGAAGGTATCTAGTGTGACTCATGCCACGAAGGAGATTCTTATCACCATTATTATTTCTGTTGTTGGCTAATACTAAAGAACTTGCCTGCTGTGTCATATGATTAGAAAGTTGCCCGAGAAGCTTAATCCCAATGCCTGTTGACCCCACCATACTGCAATGCCCATTAAGTCATCCCAGTGACAATGACCTTTCCATCAGACATTATTTAGACAGATCACTAGGACTGCTCTATTTGCTAATAATCAGTACTGTCCTGTTTAAAAATGTATTTCATCTATCTTTTATTGTTTTCCTGGCCATTCTTAGTACTTAACTTGGGCCATATTTTGTTTGAAGAGAGACGCGAATACCCTTTCTGCTTTTACTTGGTACTTCCCTATTTCAGAACAGATCATATTCTAGTTCACAACACACTGTAGCCTCGAGGTCCTCCTGAGATTTCTTGTGTCATCCTTTTTGACCCTCTTCTCTCTGAATTATAGGAGGTAGTTTCCTCATAGTATTGTTTTTCCCCTTATACCTTTCAAGGATCACCTGATGTCTCAGAGGCAGTGGAAGTCATTAACATTCAATTCTATTTTTCAGAACAAAGTACTCATATTTTTAGCAGAACATCAGATCAGAATAATCCAGAAAGACAGTTAAGTTTTATTATCCTTAGTAAGAGCAGCTCATGGGCACTGGATCAGCTTATTATGGCACACACTATGAAATGTGACAGGTGCTATAAAGTTGGTAGATAACCTTTGAGCTGCTTATCGTGTCTACCAACTAGCGAGTTCCTGACACTGCAGTTCATGAAGCCCAGCAGAACCAAGACAGGGGACAACTGGACCCAAGGTCACACTAAACAACATGTACCTGATTTGTCTCCAACATGACTCAATTTGATAGCATTTCATAAGGATTCCTCTCTGACCCTTTTTGGGTGGAAAATGATCCTTCTTTGAAAGAAAAGAAACTCACCTTCTCCTGTTTGTATCTTCCTTTGATTTACTCCCCCATTCACTGTGATGCCTGGTTGCTTATTCTTCCTTTGTGGTTGGAGTAAGGGAAGTCAGATTCCTTGCATTTATCTGCACATGGTCAGCTCTCTGTCATTATTCTTCTAACCCCACAAAACTGTATTTTACAGAAGAAACTGTCTGTCTGGTAGATACTGGTTATTGTTTCTCAGGCTAGTTTTGCATTGAATATTTTAGTATGTTTATATGTACATATGTGTGTATATGCATATATACACATATATATCACAGATAATGTGTATATGTTTGTGAGTCTCTCTCTCTCTCTCTCTCTGTGTGTGTGTGTGTGTGTGTGTGTGTGTGTGTGTCCCATATTACAAAGATCCCCAAGATTTTTTGTTTTGAGACAAAGTCTTACTATGTGGTCTAGCCTAGCTTCAACCTCATTTTGTAGTTCAGGCTGGACTTGAGTTTACATATATTATTTGTCTCTGCCTCCTGAGTACTGATATTTAATTATGTGAACCACCATGCTGGCAAGATTTTTGTCATATGGACTCATGTGTAATTCAGGGTAAACTTTAGCTGTTTAAAACCCAGTGTTATAGAAAGTTGTTATTCATCCCAAACCCAAAGAGTGATTTTAGGGGGGTTTGAACTAACAAAATTTTATGTATTTATTCTTTGTATGTGTGTATGTTTGTGCTTGTGTGTGCAGGCCGCAGCATATGTGTGAAAGTCAGAAGGCAACTTTCAGGAGTCAATCTAGGTTCCAGGGATCAAACTCAGATCATTAGACGTGCACAGCAAGTGCTTTTACACACTGAGGCATATTGCTGGCCCAAAATACACAGTTTTTGCTGATAATTTGTAAATATATATTTCCTGGTAGTATTTCATTTCTATGAAAAAAATCACTTTTCTCTTTTATGAAACATTAAAAGTGAAGAGAGGGAGGATAGGCGAGTCTGGAATTCTCCCCTTTCATTGAATCCTTTCTCTTAGGTGAAGGACTGTCTTCCAAACTCATGTTGTAGTCTTCTTAGCAAATGTTGGATACTATGACAGTAAGAGATGAGACTCACCATTACAGATGCCAGTTACTTTTACTTTTTGGAGTCCATAGAAAATGATGGTATACCTGTCTACAGAAGGAAGGTCTTTCAGTGGGTAAATGAACCTGGTGGGAGGATCCTCTCATTATATAGAAGTCTCATGTACCCAAGTCTGTGCTGACTGTTGAGATTTAGAATGGCCAGTGATGTGTCTTCACCTTAAGGATGGGATAACATGACAGCCTATCTGTGAAGACAACTCCAACTTCCAACACAGCATTAAGCTGAAAGTTGTATGAGTTAACATTTAAAAACTTATGATTCTTATTTACTGATTGTTTAAAGAATTATCTGTGCCATTTGATAATGGCATGTACAATGGCAAAGTACTGTCAAATGATGACATCGGGATCTACAGAATTGGAATGCTAACTTGATTTTTTATTATGAATGTTAGCTATTTGAAATTATTTAATGAGTCATCAGTAAAAATCTGGCAAAATTGATACTAATTCCTAATTCTTAAGGGAGTAATATGAGTATTTTTGTCATCCATTAAAAGAAAATACAAGAGTCATGAAATTTCATAAGTATATATGTCTTCCCTCCGTTTCCTCCCTTTCCTTCTCTTATTTCCCTCCTACTTACAATAGATTCCATTCAACATCTACGCTAGTTGAGTAACTTTGCTACAACATTAATTTGTGCATCTACTCATGCACTTGTTTATCCATCCATCCATCCATCCATCCATCCATCCATCCATCCATCCATCCAATAATTTGCTGTGTAGCCACCCAGCCACTGTTCTAGATTGGATGGATTCAGGGGATGATTTATTTATCCCCTCAGTTGAATGCCTTCCTTTGAGTGATTCCAGGACAGTAGTTTTATAAAATATCTTTAAATTCGAAATTTTCTGATTATGAGTTTCAGATGGAAAATATTTATGTGTGTGTGTGTGTGGGGGGGTAAGAATACAACCCTCCAATATGTTGGATCTTTTCAGCATTTATGTGAGGGTGCTTGTCAATTTGTCTGTCTATGGATTGTGTTCAACAGATTTAACAAGTGTCTTTTGTATCTCATCCATTGGTTATGAAGCTATTTTGAGACCATCTGTATCCAGTCATCATTAATGGACTATTTAGTTTCCATTGATGAGTCTCAGCAAAATGACTATTATAGCCATGGTGACTTTCTATTACCCTTTCTTTATTAGCTAGAGTTCTTCTGCAAATAAGAGCTTTCTCTTCTTCCCCCTTTTGTGTACCTAATATTCCTTAAAACACATTAAAGTTGACCCTCCTGTAGGACTTTTTATGAAATCCCATCCTTTATCATCATGGAATCTTCACCACCTCCTCATCTGTCAGAGACTCACCTGTGTTTCTCTTACCACTGTGGGGAATCCCTAGGCTAATCACAGTAATTTTCAACATCCTAGCCAAGTGATACTATTAGAAGTACCTCTTGGAAGGCCAACAGATTCCTTGTACAACAGAATCCTGCTGGCAAATCTGGTGTCGAGGCACTCACATCATGATGTGACTCAGGCTTTGAACACCCAGAAATCCTCCTGCCTCCACCTCCTGAGTACTGGGATTAAAGGTGTTCACATCCGGTTTATTGAATATGTTGAATAAAAAAAAAATAGGTGTGGAAAAGTGGGGATAGTTCTGAGGTTTCTCATTCAAAGAAATTACCAAGAATCAGGTGATGCTTTAAAGCCTATTTAGGTTGCATGGGTTATACTTGAGTCTTCCCATCTAACACATGCAAAAATTGTATCTCCTCTAAGCAGTATACTTGAAATAAATCTTAAGATGATAAAACTGAATTCTGGGGCTGGAGAGAGGTCAGCAGTTAGGAGCAGCTCTTGTAAGACGACCTAGGTTCAGTTTCTCACACCCACATGGTATCTCACTTCTAACATGAGAAAAGCCTGGAATGATATGGAGTTGCAGCTGGGAGCTATAATGTAATTAGTAAGGTCTTTTATGAATTCCAAACCCAGACTTACCAATTAACGCAACTGTTTGGTAATGAGTAAAGCCAGTCAGTTTTTAGCAATTCATTTTTTTCAAAGTCACAAGAATTGGAGTTCTGATGTTTCATTAATTTGAGTTTCATCAGCATTTGTGGAACATTACTTTGTCAAATTCTGTGAGAGAGATTTATTGCTGTTTGAAATTCCATTTGTTACAAAGTTTGCTTAGAGCTAATATTTAAAAACTTGACAGCACATCATATATTTCTTCATGTTCCTTTATGCAACTTGCCTGTATGAAGTTTTATGAAAATGAATTCATATGTGTATACATATATCTATCCCTATAAGTTTATACTACTTTTTCTAATTAGTGTGCATATATCATTATTACAGAAATATTTTTTTTTTTGGTCTTGGTTTTTCAAGACAGGGTTTCTCTGTATAAATTTGACTGTCCTGGAACTCACTCTTCAGACCAGGCTGTTCTTGAACTCAGAGATCCACCTGCTCTGCCTCCCAAGTGCTGGAACTAAAGGCATGTGCCACCACTGCCCTGCCATAATTCCAATCTTGGTAGTCTTTTTACCTTACCAACTGTTATGGTCCTCAATTATTTCAGCGTTCTCAGGCTCATATGCCCCTTTCTGTTCTTCACGTTTGTAAACAAGACCATATTCAGCCAAAGCTTTCTCATCCTAGACCCTACTCACTCTTCTTATGTGCTTTTAGGAACAATAAAGGACCACTTGGAGTGGAGGATGCAGAGGACAAGTGTGAAAACATAATCACAATTGAAAACGGCATCCCCTGTGATCCCTTGGACACAAAGGAAGGCCACATTAATGATGGCTTCTTGACAGAGGATGAACGCCTCACCCCTCTCTGAGAGTAATAGTTTCTTGGCAGATTTATTTGGTTTCACCACTCTTTTTTTGTAAGAAATTTTCAGTATGCTTGACTGTGGTAGACAATGAATTATACCCTCAAAGACCACTGCAATCATAAGGCATTGAGTTCTCAAAAAGGTTTAAAACTTTCCCCTGATAACTGAGTGTCTAAATGTAGTCATGTGTGTTTTTAATTACTGATCTGAGTATTTTTAGAAATAGAGTCAGGGCTATAAATATATTTCACACTTTGAAGACCTAAGAAAAAAATTAAAATTTCCAATGGAGAATAACTAAAACGGTGGCATAGAAATAATTGAAAAATGATCTGTTTTGACTATTGTTTATTTGCTCTGTATATGATAAAGTGAGAAGAAGTAAACATGGGAGGGATAAAATCGGAATTTTAATCTGTTCTTATACCCACATCTGCTTGTATATTTTATGCATATCAGTCTTTAGTAGGGCAAGCAGGTCTATTTGCAATTTTTACAAGTCCTACCTATGCTAATGTAATAAAGCACTGAGCATCTCATTCTGATTATGTGACTGACTCTTGTTTGGGGCTTATTTTCATACTGTGGGACATAGTGAATCTAACTTTATTAATTATATTTAATTTGATCTACAGCCCTGGTTGGTTTGATTTGTATATGTCCCTTTTTTGTATTTGTTTTTTAGTCAGGGTTTCTCTGTGTAACAACCCTGGCTGTCCTGGACTTCACTCTGTAGACCAGGCGGGCCTCCAACTCCCAGAGATCTACCTGCCTCTGCCCTCTGAGTGCTGGGATCAAAGGCATTTCCCACCATACCCAGCTCTGTGTACATGCTTGCTAGGAGACATGGTTTTGTTTCTTCACATTTTTAGCTTTTTCAACATAATATTTTATTGATTTTGGAGTTACTGTTCCTTTTTGGCAAGGAGTGAGATTAACATAGAAGCCTTCATTCTCAATTATGAGTCTTACAGACATTTTAAAGTTTTCAGACATGAGCTTTCCTTAAAATCTAAACTAATATTTAAATGTATAAAAAAAACATAAAATTGCATATTGTTAATTTTTAACATTTATTTTAATGTGCATAATGTGTTTGTGCTTGTGTGTACACATGCCAATATGTGCCATGGCATATACATGGTATGTGGAGGTCAGCGAACAATTTTGAGGGAATCATTCTTTTCGTCTATCTTATAGGCTCTAGGGATTGAACTCAGGTTGTCTGGCTTTGCAGCAAGCAGCCTTACCCACAAACCATCTAATAGCCCAAACTGTATATATTTATGTATGTACAATATATACATGGCGATATATATCTATAACATACGCATAACAATACATTACATACAGCATGTTTTTTGAGGCAGAATCTGACTATGTAACTCTGGATGGCTTGTAACTCATTGTGTAGATGAGGCTGTCCTCAAACTCATAGAAATCTTATCTACCTCTGCATTCAGAGTGACGGGATTTGATATCCATATGCAACTCTGCAGTGTTTAACTCAGATTTTACATACATATATACACTCGAACATCATTTCTTTATGGAAAATCTTTTCTTCTAAGTTTATAGACTACACAACACAGTGTCATTATCTGTATTTACCCTATTATGCAATGCTGTACCAGAATTTCCTGTTCCTATCCAGCTATTACATAGTTCCCCCTGATCAATCCTCCTCCTTCCCTCCCTCCATATCTGCACTATGGTAGTAATTATTCTGTGTGCAACTTCTTTTTTGTATGTGGTACTAGGGATCAAACCTAGGGCCATACATACACTAGGCAGGCATTACACTACTGAGCTACCTCCCTAGCCCTCTGCTCTCAGCTTCTATAAGAAGGATGGAAGTTGATCTTTTGATTAGCAAGATATGACTTACCAAAGAACAATTATATTCATCTGAATTTACTCAGTGTGTTAGCAAGCAGAATCCAAGACATGTATTCTCAGCATGGTACATGTTGTTTTTAATTGGGGGAGATGAAATTTGAGATATTACAATGGTTTGTTGCCCTCAAAAAATATAAAATATAACATATAGAGAACACACACACATAATGTAAAAATGTATGGGACTTCTATCAGGGAAATATCTTAGTTATAGAAAAAGATTAAGTAAAATTAATACCAGTTATGGCTTTTATTTTGAAGGTATGAGATGAGCTCATTTGGTCACTGCTCATTTTCTTTACTGTTTATCCTGATAGGGAGGGTTTTCTTCCACTGGGAAAGGTCTGCTCCACTAAACTCCTTGTTTGAGGAATTTTTTTTTTATGCTAACAGAAATGTGCCGTAACCTTGACAATCACTATAGCAGCAAAATGGAGCTTATGCCTCCTGCCTTTGACAAACACTCTGGGTAAGAGAGGGGTCAATCATCAACCACACTTCTCATTTTTAAGGTAATGATCATGTAATGTGCCATGAGGGAAACCATTGTGAGGTGATATGTACTGGAAACAAAATGTTGTAAAGCATCTGGAAATGGAGCTGTTTTTCCACTCTCTAGGTCTTTAACAGAAACTCCTTAAATGAAACTGGAAAAAGAGAACCCTGAAAACCAGCACAACACAGAAGCAATTAGCAGGGATGGTGATATCTGGCTCTATTTCACAGGAGAAACATACATGCTGATAACTTGGTCTTTGAAAGTAAACTTTCAATATTCACATTTCCCATAAGAAGAAACTAAGATAAACAATCATAGAGGGAATGAGTGGGGCCTGGGGTGTACCTCAGGTATCATGTAGAAGGTGTGAGGTTCTGGGTTCCATCCACAGCAAAATATATACACCCCCCCACACACACACGGCAAGGGACAGTGAGTTTATGCATTTAGACCAATTACCATGCTTCAGATATGAATATTGTGAACTGGGAACATTTACTGTCATTCCTAGGTAAGTAACAAGGAATAAGAGTGTTAGGTCTCAAACCTGAGACAAATGGCTAACTGAGGTGTTCATTAACATATCAAAGAGGACCTAGCCTGGCAGTGGTGGCACATGCCTTTAATCCCAGCACTGGGTGGCAGACACAGGTGGATCTCTCTGAGTCTGAGGCCAGACTGGTCTACAAGAGCTAGTTCCAGGACAGCCAGGGCTACACAGAGAAACCCTGTCTCGAAAAACCAAAACCAACTAATCAAACAAAGCAGACCTGGCTAGGTTCTCCTAGCATCACTCACTCTCCATCTGTTACAGGCCCCTCCTGGCTGGCATACCCCAGCCCCCACCCTAAACTCTCCAGCCCTGGTATTGGGCCAGGATTCCCTAACTTCAGCTCCTCTGGTCCCTATATAACTCAGCCATTTTGGCTATTCCAGTCTCTTGGCCCAGGTTACCCCTCTTGGTCTGTGTCTCCTCTCCCCTCTGCCCTTCTTACATGGCCTGGTTCAGGGTCATGTTGACGCTGGACTCTCCCAGTTGTTGCTGACTCTGACTATTCTCCCCCTCATACCTACAATAAACTTTCTCCTCCACAATACCTAGGAGCAGTTATGTCCTTTCCTTTTTCTTTCTTTCTTTTTCTCATTCATTTGGTGCTGAAAACCAGGGATCTGGATTCTGAGAGAACACTTGGAGCTGGCAAGTTACTGAAGCAGTTTTACAGTTGGTTTGAACAGGTTTGGAAACAAAAAGAATAAAAAAACCCTCAGCCTCCAAATTACTAGGGTCTATTTAAAATATCATGAGTTTCCTTAACAATATTTTGTATTATATTTTATGTTCTGCTCCCTCCATTAAATGAGCCCATACAAAGCGTTTGTTTTTTTCTTTTCTACTTTCCTTTCTCGTTTTGTTATTCTGAAGAATATACTTGATGCTTTTCACTCCATTCATGAAATCATGCCAGAGTCAAGAAATATGAACAGAGAAAGGTATGAAGACCTTTAGCAGACACTGGCCTTACAAATTAAAAATCAGCAAGCTGCAGTGGTGGCTGCCTGTGGCCTCAGGTAATCAGGAGACTGAGGTGGGCATATAGCTTGAGCCCAGGAGTTTAATATCGGTCAAGACAACACAGCAAAATCTGTTGACAAAGCAAATCAGTCCAGTTCATATTTGCCTTAATTGCCTTCTTCTTTCTCTGATTTCCATTCTGTACTCTGACAAGACTGCTCCCTAAAAAGTCACTGACGTATTGCTGGCTAACATCATGACTTTCTTAATCTTTATCCTTCCTACATCTCTGTGAGGTATTTTACAGCACCCACACCCCATGGATAAATCTCCCTCCCACCAATATTTCTCTCATCTCTCTCACATTGGTCAACCCTTCTACCACTGAACCTAAGTTATCTTTTTACTTTATATTTGAGATAGGTCTTCCTGAGCCTTTCAGATAGGCCTTGAACTCACTGTGTAGTTAAGGCAGTCCTTGGATTTGGGATCCACCTGGCCAGCTTCCAGGACAACATGGATGACAGGCCTATATCACCATGCCCAGCTACATTGGCATTTGTTTGGAGTTTGGCCATTTCTTCTTTCCCTTTCTACTGCTCTCACTATCCCAGCCTCTGATACACATCATTCTTTTGTACATTTAGTGAATAAATTGTCTTTCCAGTCACCAAACCAATTTGAAGCTTCTATCCAGTAGCTGAACAAATTGTTTTGATATTAAGTAGTCAAGCATTACATTAGATCAAATGCTAACAACATTTCGAATCTTTTACATTGACTTGCTTGCTAGGTACTTAGGGATGAGTCACCTACCTTGTTTCTTCATCAATTGCACCTCCTAGGAGCAAGGTTTCAAAGGTCCCTGGAAGGGCAGGGCCTTACAAGCAGAGGAGCAGTTTTTACATTCATGATAAGTCTTTTGGGCTTCTGTATAGGATAATTCCAGGTGGCCCAACTTGCTCTTTTAACAACAGCTAAATAAAATTTAAATCAATAAATGGAGGACCTAGAATCTACTGGCTCAAAAGTGGCAAAGGGTGGCCAATGTTAATAACTTTGCCATTATTTTGAGTAAGTGAGGCTTTCATTTAATTCCCACCACTCATTTTGTTTGCTTGCTGGGTTATCATATGTGTAGCTACAATGGGAGAATAGCAAGGCTTATGTAAGTACCACAATTGCAGAAGAGAGTGTTTGGACATGAACATTCTAGTAAACTAGTCCATTACATACTGCATAGGAAACTTTGTTGAGGTACAGAACACAGTTTTGCTTTTAAGCAGGGTGGGGGGACGAGGAGGATTGAAGGCCTTATGAAGGGCCAGAAATCATTGTATTGGCAGTTTTTCTGAGTTTTACAATTTTTTTGCATGCATTTATTTCTGTTTCTACTACCTTTCTGACAGATCTCCTTATTTTTTCAATCGGTG